TTCCAAACATTTCTAATTTGTGTGTATTTGTCCCATAACAAGTTGTAAATATTGGTTTTTTAATTGTTTAAAGAATGAATAAGAACATTTGGTTATAAACGTTCATTCTGTGCGATTGGTATTATTTGTTGTTCGTGAATTTATAAGGTAAGAATATCAAAGTATTAAGATATTTTTGCCCAGGGGATTCCCATCGTAAAGAAAGAGAAACTAGAAACCAAAAATTGCCCGACATCAATATATACTTTTGCTCAGGTGGATCCCCGACGTAATTCGCAGTTCGTGAAATTCCACCACTCTATTCAGAATTCAGTGATTCCCCGAATAATACTATTTTCAAGCAGATGATAATGATACAGATTTTTGGAAAGTTTATTAAATCCAACAGATTTTTTTAAAATAGTCTTACAAATATTAAGAATTTCCTAGATTTTTCAAAGAATTGAATAAAAATCCATTTTTCCCTAAGCTGGCTTAAAATTCCCTAGGTATAGGGAAAATTCCCTAGGTCTGATAACACAGGTGACACACTGTCCGAGAGTCCGAGCCATCCCCGTACAGGCAGGCCTCAGAGGCTGCCCTCCCGAACCTGCACAGGTAGTTGCGAAAGCAACCGAATTAGATCCTTCCTCCAATAGATGAGTTCCTCCAATACATTTTGCAAGGTAAAATTGAAGGAAAAAGGTCACTAGGACGAATAGGAATATCCTGGCTTGCTAACCTGAGTCCATGGTATAGACAGACCTCAACACAGCTGTTCCGTATAGCAACCAACAAAGTCATCATAGGCAGAGAATGATCTCCAACGTTTGGAACGGACAGGCACCCTAAGAAGAAGAAGCTTTTTGTCTAATTCTAGATTCGAAAACTATTAGCACCAAATAAAGTGTTTTGTTTATCATCTATTCGTGGCAATGTATAACTGTCTTTTTGTGTAACTCGGTTTTAACTTCTGTAGTCTACGCAAAATCGAGTATATCCGTCTTTTTTAGCTATTAGTATTGCTGGTAAACACCAGATGTCCGAAGCTTCTTCGATATCTAGAAAATTCTAGATTTATAATAATTCTTCTTCGTCAAGGGAAAAAGTCTTTGAACTATGGAGTTACTAGATACGCTTCAAAGAAGGAGAGTACATATTACTTGAATTAAAGACACGAGGTATAACGGACAAAGGACGAAAGAGCTCGATAAAGAATACAAATTGTGAAAGAATAAAATTGAAGTAGAATTTGTGAAAATAAATGATGGAATAATGTTAGTAAAATTTGTAATGGATAAAGAAGTAAATAGTGTGTTTATGTGTATGTGTGTATACTAATCAAGTTCGACTGGGAGAGAATTAAAGAAAAGCTTTCTACTGATCAATTAGAAGATATACTTATTATTTACTATACTATACGTACGCACTCTCATCGACAAGCTGCTACTATCATTAATGTGCGCTGGAGATGGAACATCGACAATTATATAAAACGCCATCGACCGCAACATAGAACCGAGTTCGAACCAGAAAACTAATCTGGAAAGAACTCCAACCCCGGATCTTTGAGTATCGATCAAATGCCAATCATCCTAGCAGTACAAGCTGGAGTACTGATCTGGTAAGAGCTCCTAAATCGGATATTTGGATAGCGCCGTCTAGTTTTTTCACTAGGATTTTAATGTACATAATATATAAAATATATTTTATTTAGATTAAAGTTGTGTTTTGCTGAGTTTGGTGTCTAATACAGGTACTCGTTATAATAATCAAACTCTTTTGAATACAATAGAGGATATGAAACAATACATTTAGGACTTTCTAACATAATAAACAAAGTATGAAGTAGTGTTATCTTTAGATGTTTGTTTTTGATTTCTGAAAGTTGAGTTAGCAAACGCTTTTACGTACGTTTTAAGCGTTTATAAGTCTTGAAAACTTTCCACTATAGTATTTTTATAAGAAAATTAGGTATTTGGAAATAACGTGTCAATATTTTTGGAAAAAAAATGTTTAACTAATAACCCAACTGAAAGATAAAAATAATAGTATCACCAGTGTTAGAGAAATCATAACTCTCCGTAAAATTTTCTCTTCCCAGAAATATAACGAGTCACCTCTGCCATTAACCTTAAAAGAAACGGAAGATCTCGTCTATTATATCGAGATGTTTTTATTTTTTTTAGTGTCCATCGATGAAAATGAATTTTTCTTCGATATTTTAGGACGTTTTTCGTCATGAGATAAATAGAATTCGGAAAACGATTTATCCTTGTATCAAATAATTCCGTGGTGTAATATTTCAGCTATAAAAACTTCTCTCTTTGTTTCTGCCGGCAAGTTTAATTCTTTGTCATCAGTAAAAGCTTCAGGCTCAGATACAGCTAAACAATTTGAGGAGACAAAAATAAATTTTCTTGGTAAATGTGTTGTTTTCATAAAAATGAGTTTTTACGTAATATATAGTTACAATATATAGTATAGGTTTATTACTATTTAACTGGGAATAAGCCACAATTAAAGATAAAAATACACCCGAAATTAGAAATTCTATACAAGAAACTGGCACATTGTCAAAATTCAATTAAATTTTTACGAAGATGTAGAGACAACAACCTAGTACCAAAGGTTTTGTATTTTGAGAACGATGTCCGAAGTGGAAATTGAAACGTCAATAAACGTATTTTTATTTTTTCCTTTAATTGTGGCTTATTCCCACTTAAATAGTAATTAATTTAAAACGCAACAAGAAAATAGCTTCAGAACAATATAGTATAGGTTTATATACATATATTCTGTATTTATATAAATATATGTATATTGTATATATTGTTATGATATGTAAAATCGAGAAAAATATTAGTTTGCTTAAAATATTTCAAAGTTAAAAAAATTAAAATATTTCAGATAAGTAGAATAATAATCAACAAACATTTCGAAGAATGAAAGTCTTTTTATCTTTGGATTACCATATTGACCAAAACGTAAGATATGCATAAATTATTTTCTTTGTTAAAATATATTTGAATGACGTGGATAAGCTTAAGTGAAATCCTAGACAATGGAAGTGGGTTTCCCAAATAAATTTGTGCAGTAATTAGGACAATAGAATAGATTTTAGAAAGATATGTTTTTGTTAGTTCATAAGAATTGGTAGAAAGAAATTTTGTAAATAAGTTTTAGGAAATTTTATAATTGTAGGTAAAATTTTGTTTGTGTTATCGAAATGAAGAAATGGGAGATGTATGACGCGTTTTGATTGGATAAGATTGAAAAAGGTGGGATGGTTGATTTGAGAATGAGACTTTAGTTAGTTTTTGGAAAAAAAGATAGTCAGTTGGTTTCCAAGGGTGCAAGGCGAACGACCGTTGTTCTCGGGTAGTTTCCTAGAGGTAGGAAGTAGTAGCAGTGAAAGTTTGTTAGTTTTCGTGTAGTTAGTGTATCTGACAGAAGCTGATCCAGTAAAAGATTGTAAGTCATATTTTTCTACTAATATTCCAAGAGTCATTGTTCAGGCCAACGAGAGATTCAGTTTATCGTAAAAAGAAGATATTCCAAGAGTCATTTTTCACTCAGGCCAATGAGAGATTCAGTTTATCGAAAGGAGAAGAGGCTAGCATAATTTGAACGATTCGTGCATTTGAAGATCATTAAGGACGATAAACTTGCAACAATTTGTTGTAAGATTGCTGATTACCTAGGGAGCTGCTAAGAATAGATAGCATAGGCTACAAGGAACAAGGATTTGGACCACCCATCATCAGAGAGAGATAGTTTTGTTTTTTTTTTGCAGTTTTTCTTTTATTGATAACACAATTTTTACAATTACTTTACAACAGATATAATATTTTGATTAGGAGATTTAGAATAATAATTGGGATTTTGAGATTTTAACTAATATTGTTTGTACCATTAATTTTGAAGGTTCACGTACGTAGAACAAAATTTTAAGAATCATTATATGAGATTTTGTTTATTGAAAACATTTGAGTATGAATTTTATTTCATTATTTTTATTTCAATATATAACGTTAGATCCTATATGTTTTTTATTATTCCGGTATTCTTTGGACCTTACCTTTCACATGTAATAGCATAGATATTGAAGCACGAATATAAGCTGAGATAAGAGAATTAAAAAGTGTGATAGAATCATAGTCATATCATTTAAATAATTTTAATTAATTAATTAATTAATTAGCTAATTAATTGCTTGGCGCACTAAGATTTTAAATATCACAATAATATGTTTATATCATAAACTAGTAATAAAAATTTCACAGTTGGTTAAAATTTTCTTGTTTTAAAAGTTGCATTTTAATGAACTAGTAATGTAAATACCTATATAATGTGTTCCGTAAACAATATTATCATTAAAAATCACGAAAGCTACTTAATAGAAATTTATTTTATCTAAAAATTTTAAAGACTAAAATATTTTGTTCTCAAAACTTCCAGAAAATTTATTGTAATTTTTATTTTTTTATTATTACAGCTGTTTCGGCAGAGTGCCTTGGACAAGCGAGATATTTTTGGCATGCGTTTACACTCTATAGTCTCTAACTGAATAAGTTGAGGAGGAGAGAACTGTGAATTTATGTGAAATATCACATAAATGTCACATTTTATGTCAAACGTCACGTTTTGTGACAAATCTCACATAGTATGTCATGTTTTATGTCAAATATAAATTAATTTAGATTTAAAAGTGGCTAATTCACGTAATCCCGTCTCTGCGTGACGTTAGAGGTCAAAGTGTACTCAAGTGGCTTACCTTCTACTCTTATACGCTCAGATAAGCAACCTGTGTATACATCACAGCCCTATGATTATAAAAGACATCACCTTCCGGAGTCTTATAATACACTTCCGTTGGTTGAATTGTTCACTACACTTTTCTGCGGTTCGTGCTACAAATATTCAAAAAATAATTACAAAAAGAATGATTTTAGTCAATAAATATTTAAAACACACTTTTCTCTTATTTATGTATAATATTTTGTTGCAGCTGGAGAAACAATATACCAATGCAATATGATAGAATATTTCTCTGAGGAGGTGTATAGCCCAGATCCAAATGACTCTTCGCTTGCAATACCTTGTAAGTATAACCAACTATACATATATACCATTTACTAAACTTAATATCATACTAATTATATTTAAATAGAAGCATAAGACAAGGATGCCGTGGTCTTCCTACTGATGCCGTGGTCTTCCTACTGTAAACGTAGTCAAATAAATCTTGAATCTCTATTTTTTGTCATTCGGCTTATATGATCGTTCCATTCTAATCTTCTATTTTTTTTACCCAGTTCTTGATGTTCTCCACCTTGCATCTACGTCGTATATCTGTTCTTCTAGCTCTGTCCCATAGTGTCTTACCATAAATTTTTTTGCAAGTGTTTTTGTCTCTGCTATTTCTAACATCCTTTTTGTCCTCTCTGTGTCAGGTCTTGTTTCTGCCGAATATATCATTATTGGTCTGATGACTGTTTTGTAAATTCTGCCTTTCGTTTCGTTCCAGATATATCTGACCTTCCAGCTCTAATTTCACTTGAAGGTCGATATTAATGTTCTTCGATATCATATCCATCTTCTAAATCAGACAAGTTAGATTCTTCCTCATTATACCATCTTAAAACAGCACTTTCAAATTTTTTGTCTAATGGACTAGCTTGTTTTGATATACTAGGAATTCATCTAAAAATAACAGGTTTTACACAAAAATCTTCAATTTTATAACAATTACAAAACTTATCTTAACGGTGTGGTGGAATCACTGAGCCTCTGATTTCTAATTTAAACGTGCTCACAGTACCCTACAGCTGAATATCCACTGACACCATGGACGTATAAACATAGATGGACACAGCAATAAGATACCTTTAACACACAATGTTTTGAAGCTTCGATAGAATGTGATGCTTCCGCAATGAGCATAAGCGTGCTTGAATTTTTACTCGCGGGTAATTATTCAGATTTTAAAAATTGGAAGTAGTAATAATGTATAAAATTACGTTCAAAGAATTAAAAAAAAAACTAGAGTTTAACTATTAACAAATCACGTCTTTATAGAAAAATTAATAAAAAATCTTTATGTTTTCTCCTTAATTTGCTACCCAAATAGTTCGATCGTCAATATTATTTGGAAACCTACATAGAAAAATAAATGAGTTTTATTCATTTCACTAATTTATTTGTATCCATGAGAAATATTAAATTAAAAGGTACTAAACAGATCTTTTTTAATCAGATGATGTCTACTTACAATTTATAAATGTCTACTAATTTCATGAACTCATATCTTATTCAATACATTAATGAACATGAATAAACCCAATGGTACGCCTATTAAAATGTAAACAAACACGCTTCCTCATTTCCTCATCTTAAATAATGTAAATTGTATGTACTTACAAATGAAATGAGAGATCGGGATGTAAATATTTCGTTTATTTTATTTCACTTTTCACAAATATCACTCAAAATACAGCCAAAATATCGAAAAATAACCTTTTCCTCATTTACTGTAAAAAGTAAACAAACATGGAACAGCATTTGAAGTTTGACGTAGATCCATAAGACAGAGAAATGTAAACAACCGTTGCCATTTATAAATAGTTTTCAGTGCTTCTAAATATAAAATAATTGATTGATATCTATTATACGCTATTATTAAATGATAATGCACACTATGTGCACACTTGATATTTTGATTACAATTAAATATATTAATATAACCAATAAATATTTTGGTTTGATAGCACCTGTAGAGTATAAAATACGGAGTAATATTTTCAGCGACTCGCGAATAAGAAATTTTAAAACAAAACGTGACAACAGTTGAAGGTGCTGAGAATGTGACCTATTCAAATAATTTTGACTTCACAATTTTATGTAAATAACTGAGTCCATCTGTGTTTATACGTCCATGACTGACACTGAATACCAATTACACCAATAGTGACTTAAAGGTACATGAGCGTGTACAAGATTTAATGTCACTGGAAAAAATTACAACTTCTTAAGTACTAGGAGTCTGCGTGACTCCAGCTCACCGGTTACTGGTTAATGATATAAATATAAAATATATTTTATAAACTGACCCAACAAATAAGTATAAATGTAAATGTCCGGAAATAAATGTCTACTCTTATTAAATATTTTTAATCGCAGTGTCTCTATGCTGTCACAGCAGCTCCATGATATTAATTACTGCCAGAGTTGATGTACCGATACGTCGCAATGAATAAAAATACATAATAGTAATCGAAAAGTACATTACTGATTTAATTTAAAGTAAAATTAATGTTGGTATTCAATTTCGAATTTAATTAAATATCAGACTAACAACTCGACGAATATTATTTCCACATCAAAAGTTACATCTATTGTTACATAAAACCATATGTAACTAACTAATTTTTAATATTATAATGGTATGCCATATTAATATAATAATAATGTATTTTTAATTCAGTTTTCAGTACAGACTGTTGCTGTAAAAAATTTCTGTCAAAATCCTTTTTTTCTTTTAACAAACGGGAAATACATATTAAAGAGTAAACCACGGCTCACGTAGGCAGGGCAGTGTAGTCTGTAACCTGTAGTAGATCTAACTTTACCGGAACTTTACCGGGATCGTAAAATGTATCTACCCGTTACTCCTCTAGGGAGTAACGGGTAGTACACCCTAACGTACACTTAGACACAATTTAGAGAAGTACCAAACATTAAAATTGGAACTAGAAATATATAAACGGTATCAAAGTTATACACTAAACTAAAAACACTAAAGAGAGCTCCAATGTTGTGTACTCTCTATCCTATAATAATTGCAAAAAAGTTTATATTGGAGAAACATCCAGGAACATGTTGGGAAGATTAATATTACACAATAGTGACATTAATCTGAACAAAGTACAAGCAGAGAACGGAAAAGCTCGTAAAAATATGTAGGTAGTAAACAACAAAGAAATAGGGATAAATATCTGGAGCTTAAAAGAATAACAAGAAGATAATAGCAGCAGCCTAAAGAGAAATATGGGATTAGAAATGACAGGAGATTAATACCTACCTAGGAGGCAGAAAATGTACATAGACTTAAAAGTTTTTTTGGTAAAACAATAACTATTTAAAAGAAAACCACACATAATAAGATAATGTGAGACTCGATGACCTTTAAACAGTATCCCAAAGCTCAAAGCTTTTGAAACCGTAAGTATCTGGAAAGAGAATTTTTCCCATAGTGGAAGTTTTCAGGAAGGGATTTTTCCTCAAATTCTAAATACTGCTCTAGTTGTGCCTATACATAAAAAAGGAGACAAATCAAAATTTGATAACTATCGAGGCCTATCACTTTTATCTTTGTTTTCAAAAATATATGAAAAGGCATTTCATACACGTCTCCTCTCGTATATTAAAATGCAAAACATTAAAGAAAGTCTCAATTTGGTTTCCGTGAAGGTATAAGTGTGCAAGATGCACTACTTGCGCTGTGCAATCATATTTTATCGAACTTTGATAAGGGTAATAAAGTTATCTGTTTGTTTTTTGACTTAGTACGAGCTTTTGAAACAAACTGTAAATCATCCAATACTGCTGGAAAAATTTTATCATAGTGGTGTTAGAGGAACTGCGTTAAAGTGGATCCAAACTTTCTTATCGAAAAGGTTTCAAAAAATTAAGGTCAATGTGAATGGGAATATAATATTTTCTTTAGAAGAAAGTGTCGTCTCCGGAGTTTAACAGGGAAGTATCATTGGCCCTCTTTTATTTTTGATTTTCGTCAATGATTTAAATCAACTGATAAACGATAGCTCAACATGTTTGGTTCGGAATCCATTAGATAATTTTCTGATGCAATAAGCGTTCGAGGAGAAAACGTGGAACAGCAATCAGGATATTACGTCACTCAATTTGCTGACGATACCACAGTTACACTAAATTCCAATAATTTTTTTCATGTAGTACAAAAAGCAAACTGTCTTGTAAAAAGTATGACTCATTACTGTTTAAATAATGCACTAATCTTAAATGGGTCAAAGACCAATATGGTAACCTTTTTACCTTCTACTATGCAGATAAGTCCATTAGTAAAGCTTGACAATGGGTCTGTGGTAAATAGCCACTCCACTAAGTTGTTAGGTGTTTACCTGGATTCTAATTTGTCTTGGAGTTCTCACGTTGATTATGTAGTGGGAAGATTGTCTGTACACTGTTATGTTCTAAGGCAACTTAGAAATTTTGTCTCCCTAGATATCTTGAAACTTTACTATTTTGCTCATGTACAGTCAATTTTGCAATTTTGCTTAGTTTGTTGGGGAAATTGCTCGCGAATTAATGAGGTGCTTGTTCTTTAAAAAAAAATTATTCGTACCATGATGTTTAGTAGGCGCTTGAATTCCTGTAGACCAGTTTTTAAACAATTAAATATTTTAACTGTAATTTCGCTGTATATTTTCAGTTGTGTTGTTTATGTAAAGTCACATAGATGTCATTTTATTTGCAGAAATGATGTTTCCTTAATGAGTGGTTACAATTTTCGTTACAGAAATGATTTGGTGACCCCTGCTCGTCACTTGACTGTTGTGGGCAAGGGTCCTTACCCAACATGCGTTAGTTTGTATAATAAATTACCTAAATATGTTAAAGAGTCAAATATTTATGTATTTAAGAGAACAGTTAAGGACATACTTTTGGCAAAAACTTTCTATTCGTCAGAGGAATACTTGCAGGCATCTTTTTAACAATTTGTATGTTTTTGTGTATATTTGATGTTTTATGTGCTTATAGTTTTTACTTTTTTTACTACCTATGTACCAATAGTTTTTTACATTGTATTTTGACGCATTTCAATATTTGTAAAAGTCAGATGAAATAAAGAATATTGATTGATTGATTGAAGTGTGGCTTAAATCTGCTAATAATAATGATTGGTATGTTCAAATGTAAGTTGAAAAGGACTATTGACAGAATATTTTAATTACAAAATACAATTATAACGACCACTTGTAGTAAATATGTACATATACCTAAATAAGGCGAAAATTACACATGTTGCGTTTCCAACAGCTACAACAAACAAAAGGTGAACAA